TTGAGTCTTCTTGAGCTGTGCGCACTTGGGTGAAAAGACTTTCTTGTGAAAATTCATCATTCCACTTGGGGAAACCTAGTGGGCGCAGTTCGTCGGAGAAGCTTCCCTCTCCCAAGTTTCTCTTGCGAGCTTGGCGCTGGACCCACTCAGCGACGGACGCGCTTGTGAAACCTGTTATGGATGTGGAGGAACCAAGGCCCCTGGAATTGACCTACGGCGTTGCCTACGCGTTCCTTTGAAGCCTCACATCGAGGTTCGTCTGGTGTTTTTCGAGACGTGCGGTTGAAATGAAGCGGAGCATTCCTGAGCGGAGAGCATGCTGTCAAGTGGAGCGCGAAACAACGGTTGTGAAACAATGACTGCCTCACCTCGTTGCTTAGAGGCCGAAAATTAAACGTGGACAGTTTTCGGCATGGCAAGTCCATGGTCAGGTCGCACGCGAAAGACTGAATTCAAGCAGGATGACTGGTTTCCACATGAGAGTGGACAAATGGAATGCAAGGGCCCAGTTTCCACTTCATTTTTGTTGGGAACTTTGTGGGCTCAAAGCACGGTGCGGCCACTCACATCCCCAGCTCTTGGGATGACCCAAAAACAGAATGCTCACACACAACGAGTGCAGTATTCCTCGCCAAATGTTGCTGCTCGGGCCTGAAGCAGCTCCAAGAGCATTGATTCTAAGAGCCAGGTTCAAAAGTCTCCCCAAAACTTTTGTTCAGCCAGCCACTAGCCACATGAATCAGCCTTCTTAGGGCCTACTTGTTCAGACAACCACAACCCCTAACATACGGCCGAGCAGCATCAGTTCGGATTTGCACATGAAAGCTGCAGACAGAGTCGCTTTGAACAAGAGGCAATTGAAAAAGCTACTACTGCAAGCTGGTCGAAGTGATGCAAGCTGCTGCAGGTTTGGTAGGGCTTTTTTGCCACTAGCGTTCGCTAATTCGATGGTCACGAAGCGAATCACTCTACACGTCTCACACCTCATACAAAGCCAGACACGACGGTGTTGCGCTTGCGCAGTGTGAGGCGATCATTGCGGCCGAACACGTGGAGGTTTCTGAGGTTTGAGTGAACTCTGCGAGGATGTGGAGACATGCAAGGCCGGCAGTGGTATTTTAGCCATGCCAAAAACTCTGTTGTAATAAGGGCAAGGAGACTCAATTGTGGATCTTGCTAATTACATGAGAATGCCTGCAGAGTGCAGAGATTGCAGTTCTTCAGAAGGCGCTTTTTGAAGTGCTACTGCTGCTACTGTGTAAATGAAAAAGTAATGTGAACCTGTCAAAATTCTGTGCAAGTGGAAAAGCAACGTGAACTCTTCGACAATTGCATCGTAAACCGTAGTTGCTGGTGGCTTGCCAGAGCAATTTGCTGATTCGACTTGGGCTTTTGGCCACTTGCGAAAAGCCCCACATCTCCTGCTGCACACTTGCACACCTTGTGGGCAAGCACGTTTTGGCGCAATGCTGACGGCGACGAAGCGCTGTTTTGCTGGGTCCTTGTGGCCCCCAAAGCAGCTGCAGTGAAGTGCTTAAGGTTCAGGACCACAAGCATGGCTTCAGCAAGAAAGTTGGCCGTTGTCGCGAAAACTGAATCAAAAGTGTTGCAATGAAATCCGTTGTCGAACGCCATTGAGCCGGTAGGGAGCTCCACAGTCTGATGCTGTTTCGCAGATGAGAACTCACAAGTAAAGGACTGCGATTCTCCTGAGGTTTCCATTGAATCCCTTTTTTCCTGGGAGATTTGTTTGAAGATTTGCAAAGACTTCTGACCTGCTTGCTACCGACCTGGTCCGCCAAGTTTCTCACAAGCCCACGCTCACTGCACACCTTGGATAGCCAAAAACATGGTAGCTAATGGCTGGATATGTTCAGTCATGGGGCATGGCAACTGTCCATACTTCAGCAAATAGTAGGGAGATGTGCTACAATCATTGCCCAAGGGGATGCTATGACCTGAACACTTTCGAAGGCCAGGATGCCTTGAAATCCAAACACTGACTATATGAACCCAACCTCACCACCATCACATCTCACCTGCTTTACAATGTCCTGTGTTGCTCGCAAGCAGTGTTTGTCTGAATGCGTATGGTCGGTATGGTTCTTGGATTTTGGATTTTGGAACGTTTGATTAAACTCCAGAAAGTTGTTCACTGTTGGACCACACAAACTCGGCATGTTATTTTGCTTGAACAAACTATGGTCAAGAGCAAGCTGGTAAGATGTGCAGATAGCAAAAGACTCATTTTCAACAGCATTTTCAATATGTTGAGATCGTGCTCATTTTCAACTGCCCATACTTTGGCCCAACATGACCGGTGAGTTGTGCAGACACCCCACTGGTGGGTGTTGGACACTTCCGTTCGGTGGTGCGGTGGAACAGGGCAGGCCACAGCATCACTCGGTTGACACTCGGTACCGGTTAAGGGTCGGCCGAACGAGTGTTGCTCGGGCGACCGGTCGCTCCTTCCCCGGGGAGGCCGTGGAAGGAGCGCGCCCGGCGGATGTGATGAACGCCCACTTTGGCCGAGCCACGGAGTGAATGGATAGACTTACCCCTGTGCTTGCCGAATCTGCGCAAAGACGGAAGCCAATCGCTTGAAGCCATCGGGATGCTTTTCACTCGGGCCAGTGGATACATTAAGCATCATTAAACCACACATAGCGAAAATAGCTCAGGAACTGAAGTTGCTTAGAAGCACTTGCCTTTTTGTGAGGCTGCTTTTGTCGCCCCTGACAAAGCCCATCCCCAAGTCAGTGGTGAGCCAAGTGGCCGCCTTTACTCATACAACATACATTTCAATAGGTCAGGTATTGTTAATCCATTTTGTGCAAAGGTCAACAGCTGTCACTAGTTCAGCGACACCTGGTCCCCAAGTGCCGCTGGATCCAGTGACATGACCCTTTGACCAAAAGCGAATCGCTGAAGGTCCGCAAAAGCAAGGAGAATTCTCTCCGCGTGCCGTGCGATTCCCTGCGCTAATAAAGCCTGAATGTGAGACCGCAGTCTAGCTCATAGCGCATGACCCTTGCGCTGAGGAGACAAAATTGAAACACTTGAATGCGGAGGCTGCTGCCAGCTCAACATGTTCCAAAACAAGCAGATTTCTCAATCCCTCTTGCTCCCTTGCAGAGTGCCTGGTTATGTGGAGCATGTGTAAGCGGCCAAGAATTCTGTTAAACAAAGTCACAGTCCTGCCTTCGCGATCACGGCTTTCATCTCAAGCAAGTGCCTTTCACACATCAAGAGCATGTGGGTGTCGTTCCACAAGGACTGCGCCTAGCAATCTGATATGAGGAAGACAGTCTAAGTCTACGGAGTCTGCGACTTGCCTCACGCTAAGCATTGCTAACTTCAAGAACTGCCATGCAACATGTTGTGGTCCCCCTGGTGCTTGGACCACTTCTGAGACGCAAAAAGACGCCTGCCTGGAACTGCATGTTGAAGGACGAATTGTTTCAGCAGCATCTTAAGCAGGATATGATAGGGGCACGGGTAGCCTTCCACCCTTGTTTACATTCAGGCTCATTCGGCCTTTCAGGCAACAAGGGTGTGGGCTCAGCGCTTGCTCGTTCTTTGATATTTGCGGTAAATCTATGGCAGGCAGGTTTGAGAATGGGGACTAGATGGGGTACTCCTGCTCAGATCAGGCACTGACTTGATTGAATTCTTGGTTCCGACTAGTGAGAGCATCCGAATGATCATGGATGATCCGATGTTGATTCCTCGGTTGGCCTTTTTGGACATTGTGACCAGAATGAGAGCAGAAGAAACACCATCACTGACCTTTGCTGCAATTTGTCGGCTTTGTTCAGGTTGGTTCTTTTTCAGAGCCTTCTTGGGCAAAGAACATCTCTTCCCGCCGTTCTAGGCCATCCATGTCAGGTGGTAAAGTCAGTCTGGTAGTGATTGCTTCAAACAGGTTCGCTTAAAGGTTTGAAGTGGTTTCTCGCCTGTTTGTTTGGATGTTGGACCACAAAGAAAACACACGGTCATTCTCAGGCCCATTAACGTCTTGCAACGGGGTCATGCCGGAATCGAAGGGACAAAGGGACGTGGCGCGTCCTTGGAGTGGCCAGACGAGACTTTTTTTCAACCGAGGTCCGAACAGCCAAGCCCAGTGACCCAGTGGCCCAGCAATGTTGGTGGATGGCTGAACGGTAAACATGGTTTAAACAGCTGATAAAGGGTATGGGCCGTATGGGGGTGTATCTACAAACATCCTCAAGCCACCCAGGATGCTGGGAAACACATTACTTTGCATATGCTTCACTCGTTCAATCTGCCTGCAGCACGTGCGGCCCGGGACGTGAATGGACCGACTTGACCGCTAGGGTCGTTGGAGCGCGGTGTGGAGACCGGATGCCGGGGTGCATGAAGAATACCATCATTTCAATCGAAGGCGGGGTCGGAACATGTCACTGTGGTGTGGCTCGATCTTTTGGGTGCCACACGCTCTTCAAACGCCACTGGCAATGTCGGCCCCCTGCGTCTGAGTACAGTATGTTATGGTGCAACACCTCTTCTTGCATTGGGTCTGACGTCCGCGTCGTTTGTCAACGAGGGGTTGGGCCTGTGAGTTGCACAAAGTCGCTACCTGTGATATAAAAGTCACCATCCAATGCCGAAGCATGGCCTAGCACCAAAGTAGGATGATCAATGATCCTTCATGGTTCATATCTTGAGAGGTGAAGATGCTAAGGATCTGAGGATGCCCTTCTCCCGGAAGAAGCATGAATCGGAAGAATTTCGGGAACGTTCTAGGCACGGCCATGTTCCTGGTCCATTCTCATGGGAGACGCCTTTGGTGCTTTCTTTTCCGGTGCGGCAGGTGAAGAGCTGCCAGACCCGAGAGCAAGGGAGGAGAGGCGAGTGCAGATCCGTGCCCTTGATGGGAGCGAAGAGATGCCGAGTGAGAAAACACTTATTGAAGCTCCCTGGAAGTGCAGGTATTGCTGATGGTGATGGCTTGAGTTGTGATTTCAATGCCCTTTAGTGCCTGGAGTTTCTGCTTGTTAGCTTTTGAACCCGCTGTGGAGTCTGTATGGAATGGCTCTCGGCAAAGAGTCACAACAAAAAGTGAACCAGCATGAACCCATGAAATTGGGGTTCACGCTCTCCGTTTTTTTGATTGTTCACTTTCACTCTAGACATGTCCACTGACGGCTGACACAGTCAGGTCTATGTAAGTAGACAGATGATTGAAACTGCAAGATGATTAGCAAAGGACTTTCCCAAATTCCTTTTGTCTTCCCATCATCCCAGGCTTCAAAGATTCGTGTTGCCGGTGTTGCTGGCTCTCGAGATGGGCGGAGAAGCTGCCGTCGCCCGAGCGAAGCGACAAGAACTTTGGAGAAGATTCATCAAGAGCTGGAAGTTTGTCTTGGGAACCTTGGGAAGCTCAAGGAAGAAGTTAAAGCCAAGACCATGGGCGCTGGAGCGATGGTGGGACGTTTCTTCCGTCATTCCATGGCCAACTTGGTGGGGACTTCATCTCATCGTGCTGTACGCGGCGTTGCGACGGCGGAAAGACTGAGCATGCCAACCCTCACGGGGTTCGACGGCCAGATGCTTGGCGCTGAAAATTCACCAGACGTGCTCCGAAAATACTTACAGATGAAGATCTTGACTCTTCTCATGTCACGTTTTGCCTTTTCACAGTAATAATGGGATATCCGCAGTGTCAGTGTTTTCTTTCTCCAGACACCAGTTCCCCAAGTGATTCAGACACAGTCACACATCCACTTCTGTGCTTGGAAACCACCAACTGTGCTTGCCTCGACAGGACACCTGCAAAGCCCTCAGACTGGTACGTAAAAATATGTTATTTGAACATTTACCGAACTGATGTCCTCCATTTTGACCCAACTCACACTCGAAAGATCACGGAGATCAAAGGACTGAACAATTGTGTTCTGGATGGCCAAGGCTAAAGTCAGCTGCTTCTTCCGGTGCTCCCATCGGCCATACTGGTGAGCGCGAGTGGCAACAAGCTCTTCTTCTCCGCGTGCCATGCCTTAAAGTGACGGTTAATCCAAACAAAAAGTACTTCACTAAAACTGACATGTGGTTGGGCTTGTAGATGGAAATTCCTGTTTACAAGTTTACAATATGTCTATGCTTTTTTGGTTCCAGCATGCTCTGTATCTTGCAGACTGGGAAAGTCTCAGCAGAATGGCAAACCTCAGGCAGTGCGGTCAGTTACACCGATTCAGGCACTGGTGCCTCTTGAATAATTTTTTGCTGGAGTAGGGTTGCTCTTGTGAAAGATACCCCCAAAGGGATTTCTTGATTTGCGCAAGCCATTGGCCAAGTGCGAGAACATTGACATACATCTTGGGTGTTTCTCTTTTCTTCTGTAATATATGCTTTTGTTTTTAGTGTTCTTTTATTTTGTATTACTTTACTTTTCTTTCTTCTTCTACTTTTGCATTTTTTCTTTCCTTTTACGCACCACTCCACCACCCCACTGCTCACTCCACCGAGGGAGACGAGTGGCCGCCCCTCGCCACATCGGCCATGCCACGGTCTTTGCGCCCCGGCACGGACATGCAAAAGAGCGTTCTCAAAGAACTTCGCAGACTTTTTACATCGATCCAATGCAAAATAGATTGGCGTTGAACAAGTGAACTTGGCTGGTGACATGCATTGGAAGTGGTGAAACTATCATTTGTAAGCTGAACATGCCTCAACACACAACGCCCCCTCAAGAGCTGCTACGTAAGGCCGTTGAACAGCCCAAGGCTTCCCTCTATATACTGAAAGCGTTGACGCAAAGCTGTCGCTCCAGACCGCCCAAGGCTTCCAGTGGAGAAGCTTCCTGGCTTAGCATTGCTTTTGTGAGCCCTTTCCGATCAAAGACGTGCCCCATCAAGATGGGGGGCAAGTTGATGATTCTGTTTTTATCGCTTGCAGCCATGGGTGTTTTGCGGCTAGTTGGTATGCACCTGTCCCATCCAGTCCATTCAACATATTTACAATACAGAACTTGAACAGATGTGGAAGCTCAGCACGCAACCATAACCAGGCCGAGACCGATTGGTGGACACTGAGCGCGCAGCAAGATCCTAGGGAATCTCCACCACTGGACAACTTGTTTGGCCTCTTGTTGAGGTAGTTTGCAGCCATATAAAGGCAAAGGTGACCCTGGACTCCCCACTTTCTCTTGTAAAGACAGTATTTCTTTTCGATCGACTTTGCTCACAGCTGGATTTGTGTTGGGTTCCTTTGCTAGCACATCCAAATTCCCTTTGGTGTCTTCAAAGCAAGCAAGACATTTTGCATCCAAGTCTAAACTTCCAACCCGATGTGTCTTCAATTGCTGGTCGTTGGGTGTGTTGGGATTGTCTCATTCTGAGACAGAAACACACACACACACACACACACGCAACAACATTTGCTGCCAGGCTCTTGCAGATGTACCAGGACTTCTGCTTGGACGACTTGATCATCCCGGCCTGCTTCCACTCGAAGATCGCTTGCTTCTCTCGTGTGGCGCGACTACAGTTGATCTCCAAAGCACTGGAGCTTGTGGATGAAGAGGTGGATTTCATGGCGCAAGAGCTCTTCGTGCTTTACCAGGAGATGTCATCTATAAGTACAATGCATTTGGCTTTAAATGGTACAGTATATGGACAATCATGGAGAGCACAAAGATTCTGAGATGAAGGTGAAGGCAAAACTTTGAGAAAATGTCGATCGATACTCTGAGCCATAGCACATTCATTGCAAGACAGGCGGCAATCAGATGGACTTGGATGAAACATGATTGACCTCAGATGAAGGTGTTCAAATGGGAACGCAATCATCCATAGCCACAAGAAAGTGAGCCGTCGCCGCTTTGATGCCATGGATCCAAACCGAGAACCCAACAAATAGCCATGTCTGGAAGTGGACATCTATTTTTGCTGTATGAAGTCAAGAATGTATCAGCGCCTATAGTGGCCAGCTTTCCTTTTGTTCGACTGTTTTGGACTCTCTTTTCCTCTTGCGCTAGCCTAAAACAAACTTCAAACATTCTGCTGTGCATCAAATTCCAAATTGGCAGGGGCATTTCCACTGTTCCCAAAGTCATTACCCATCTTGGCCGTGTGATCAACAGTAGCCACTAGTTCTGTGGGGAATCAATCCGGCCATGGGATTCCTTCATTCGGCTGGCTCATTTCAAAGTGGGTCGCCAAAGCAGAACAGAAATCCGGGATCTTCTTTAAGTTCCCCACATCCCCTTAGAGTCCTTCCCCTATCGCCAAAGTTTTTGGGAGAGCCGTGGTTCGCAAGTTGAGCAAAATTTGTTCATATGCATCAGTCACATTGAGCAACAGATCCGTTGGCTTCACAAATTTCACACCGTGACCCTGAAAGGCTCGAACTCGTTCACAGTTCGGAAACAGCCAGTGTGTGCCAAATGCTTTGGACCCCCAATAAGCATTGCCCCAAGATGGCCCCAGTCCATCTCCAGGATCGCTCCAAAACCTAGGTTTCGTGTTTTGGCGTCGCCACGTGGCCACGGCTCCGTTTCGCCCAAGACCTGGTGTGAGGACCTCCTTCAGCTTCACCGACCCGATGCCCTGGAGGTCTCTCATGAACTCGTGAAGGACAAGATGGCACACTTCAAGGGCTTCAAGGTGTGCAGTCTGAGAGGAAATGGTGAATTGTTGGAAGATGTGGAGAGGGAGGGGAGGGCTGACGAGATGCTGCTTTGGTTTGTTCAGAGAAGGGGTCCAGTTGAATGTTCACTCAGGCCGATACTGGATTGGATCATCCGGAAGTGATGACCTACTTTCACATTCCTAAGTTCAGGATAGGTCAGGTTTGTTCCACGTGTCTGATATGGCTTTTCGAGAGGTTGCAACTCTTCGCCCATGTTGGAGCGGCACCCAGGCCGTACCTGCGATCCACCATGTTCAGGACTGGATCAGAGCCCAAGCGGAGGGTGCGACAATGTGAGAGTGAGTTTTTGTAAATGTTCTTTCAAGCAAAGCTAACTAAACCCACCTTGTCTTTGGGTTTCTGTTTTGCTTGGTAGGGCGAGTTGTTCGGGGGGGAAGCCTGAAAGCAATTACTTTTTCTCCCTGGTGCTCCTTTGCTACCAGCTTGTTCATAGAAGGGATGCAGTCAGTCAAACAAGGATTAAAACTCCTCCGAGTTCGGGGCATCAAACATCTCTTCTTGAGGACCATTTGTCAAGATCTCGGGTCTCCTCACCAGTCAAAAAGGAGTTCCTCCGGACTCTGGACAGAATATCTTTGTAACTGGAAACTGTTCAGTCTTCGTTGAAACCATCTTGAACAGAATTCTAGAAACCTTCGTGTCTCAGTTCCATCTCGTGGCCCCGCCTCCCTCTGCGGGTTCCTTCTGCTAGACCCCGCTGTGCTCGCACCAGGACGTTCCGAGTTTGTTCCACGAGTTGATGGCAGCCGAGACGTTGGTGGCCTTCCTGCAGACTCTTCAGGCATGCTGTTGGGCCTCCGCCGCAGATTGGAGTTCTAACGGCTGAACTCTTGATTCTAGCCGTTCTTTTTTCTTTTGTCGCGCTGTTTGCATTCGCACAGATTCGGCTTGTGCCAATCAAGCCAGATGGATTTCCAAAGGTTGCAAGTACTAGAGGTTTCACGAGTTTGGGAAGTTCGTTTTTGCCGTCATCTACAAAATCCTTTGAGGTTAGTTGCCCAAAGAACAGCAGGGTGAGGCTTGACGTTTGGTCGCTCAACTGAGGCGGCACAAGAGGCGCTTCTTGACCAAGTGCCAGAGTCCCAGACCCCGCTGCGAAACGCCAACGTGCCTCTCGTGCACGTGTGACTACATGTCAGACAGTCACGACAGTGACGTGCCATGCACGCCTCTGGTTTCTGCACCTTGGACTGATTTCAATTTTGTGTCAGAGATGGCCCAGCATGTCCGATCTTTGTAGAGTCATTTTCTTGGACATTCACCAGTCTTGACCCAGGGACCAGGTGTTTTTGTTGGTTGTTGTTGTTGTTGTCGTCCGTTGCTCAGGGTTTGGGAAGTGTTTTTCCCATAGCCACCTGGACAGTTCAACGAACATAGATATTTTGGATAGACTAAATACACCAACAACATCCAACAACCATGGGATCGGTTGTTGATCTTTTGTGGGGTATCCATGATCCGCCTCCCCATATGGGCAGGGCAGGGCTTTCCTTCATTCTTATGGGATTGGCACTTTGAGGCCGTGGATGTCATGTATAAGGCCACCAAGGGAACGTGGGTTGTGGAGGGACCAGTGCTGATGACCCTGCTACTAGTTGGCCAGTGGGATTTAAGACATGCTTGGGGCAAAGTGCATAGCATTTTTGGTTGTTGCTTAAGGCGGCAGCGGGGCAAGGGTGATGGGTCATCATGGGTGTGAAGCAATGTGGTTGACATCACAGCAGTTAGAGGACACTCTTTTCACATTTGCAACTTTCTGGTCGTAACAATTGACGATCCACTATGTCACACAAATCCACTATGTCACACAACTGAATTGAACCCCGTTTCTGTCCAAATGCTAGATTGAAGCCATCCCTAGTTACTAGTTCTAGAAAAAGCATCATCTTTGACTTAGTGAAGCCGTCGTGCTCTTCTACTCAACTTGATTCGGTTCCCACCCTTGAGTCCCTGAAGAAGTGTGTTGGAACGACGGCAGCTGAGGACTGGACGACGAGGTTCCATGCTGTACAGATGAATTGCATGCATAGTTTTGGGCCAAATATCTTCGTGGATCTTCATGTTATTTGCCCAGATTTAGGAAGGCCCGATCGGTCAAGCGGTTCTTGTCATCATTGCTGGCATCATTCCGTTCATTGTTTTCAGGTTAGTTTTGCCAGCGATGAGACAGATTTGGTTGTTTGAGTTCTATACAAGAACCGGCTGTATACCAAGGTGTGGCATTGCAGATAATCATTTGGGAGTATGGCTTGGGATCCGATTGGTGTTTCAGGATTCTGATCCACACAAATAGACAGGTCTCAATTAGACATCCCAAGACATCCCAAGACTCAGGGTCCACATCAGGTGTGGCCCGTGTTCAGAACAGTGCCAAACACCTGTGGGCCGAATCTGCTTCGACCGCAGACCTCCATTTGAGGCTCGTCTCGCGCTGCGTTGCTCCTGAAATGGCTATATACTAGCGTGGGAGGAAGGTGACATATATATATATATACACTGATACATGACATATATGACATATACGTGATTGTGCAAGTGACCTTAAATGTCCAACTTTTGCCATACTAGCCACTGACACCCTCGAAGATGTCAATAACGGTTGGGGGTTGCTTGACGGGTGGATCTTGACAAATCCAGTTGATGCAAGAAGGCGGATGTGAAGTGAGCAACTCTGATGAGGAATGGAGGCTTAAGCGGACCATGTTAGAAATCCATGCCACCTAGCCATGACCATCACGTGCCATGGGCTTGGCATGGCTTGGCGTTTCAACACAACCCTCAGCCAGATGGTTTGGTGGAACCCAGATCTCAAGAAGATTGATGCTGTAAAGCCCTGGACTAGGGCCAGGGTTCTGTAGGTTTTGGCGTCCACCGGACTGGCATTGTTTGAGCGAGGGTAAGCTTTTTCAAAACCAAGAAAGAGCAATCTAACTAGTTTGATTGTTTAATGTAGCTGATCCTAGGTGCTTGAGAACGAAGGAAGGACCGGTGGGAGGTCATCAATGTCGATGGATTGGTGGGCAGAGGTCGTTGCCAGCGCGGCTTCGATTTCTACCGTCGAGGGGAGATCCAGACAAGCCCAGGCGGACACTCCAGCGGCAAGTGGGAGTGTCTCGCCAGCTTGCTCGTACAGCTCTCAGTCGCCCACTCACCAGTCGCGGCATTTGATGGCTACACCTCCCGGCGTCATAGAAAGAGCTGTCAAAAGAAGCTGTGGCCCGCTATGGCCCTTGGGCCAAGACGGTCCGTGTTTTCGACTGTTCATGTTTCTTCGCATTGCCTGCTTTAAGCACCACTTGAGCCTCGCAGGATCAAACCCAGACCACTTTTTTTGAGGAGACAATAGACGTAGAGGTCAGCACTGCCTGGTTTTGCTGACAAAAAGAAATACGTCATATTCCCAAAACAGTCAAGCAAGCTCGAGGTGTTGGACATAGAGAAGACCTTTCTTTGGTATCCCGATGCCAATTGGCAGAGTCAAGAACTCGGATCTCGTAGGCTTTGTGACCCACTTCAATTTGTCCGTAGAGGTTGTGCACCACACCATGAGAACAGACGGCCTAACTTAATGGCCTCCAGAGCGGTCTGCAACAAAATTGATAGCCATCAAGCAAGGAGTTGCCCATGGGTTCTACCCTCCAACTCACTGTGGTTGGTGGTAGTGATTTCAGCTCTTGGGTGAACTCAGGCACTTGCCGCATTTGCCAGTTTGAGCGGATGAGCAAAGCGAGTGTTGCAAGAAAACAATAAAATATATATACATAGCTGGTTTGATGGTTGGGGTGCTCACCTGTAGGGTTCCTATGGTCGCCCACTTTGACCAACCGGCATTCATGTGGCTGTCGCCCGAGATGTCCGTGGTTTTCTGGATGTTGTGGTTGACAGCTGAGCTAAAGATGTGCGGACACTGATCAGCAAGTCTTGAGCCAGATTTGCTCAAGCATTGTCCCTGTTTTGGTTGTGTTGCGAATCCTGCACAAACCGCCTTTAGATAAAAGCGAGGTTGTTGGTGCCGGCCCAGCGAAACTAGGATCAGAGCCACTTCTTGAGATGGTTGAAAGTGCCGTGCGCCTTGCTCTGGCTCAAGTGGGTTGCAAGAAAAGGACAACCCCAGCCGTGCACGACCGCACGACCCGAAATGAAGATGCTGTGTCGAGGGCCAAGTTCTTTCATGAGATGCAACTGAACACTGGTGGCTCGAGGGCTCAACTTTGGGCAGTTGGCAGTTGGCCACTTGAATTGGTTTCTGTTCCCATGACAAGCCCTCAACATGGTAACAGGGGCAGTTGTTCATGTTTGTTTTTCAGGAGAAGACCGTTCTTGGCTACTTAGTACTTCCGTCCATTTGGGTGTCGTGGCTCCGTTGGTTCGGTTCAATGTGCCCTGTAAGGCACCGAAACGACAAAGAAATTGTCCGATGTTTTGGTCGGTTCGTTCCAAAGAAACGGGTAGATCAGGCCTCAAATTCATTAGCACTAAAGACCCTGGACATGTTATCGACTTGACTACACCTTACAAGTAAAAGCAACAGCTCTTTTTTAGACGTAGCTATCTTTCTTTCCTTTCTTCAGACCTTTAGACTTTTCTGTTTTTTTTAAAACATTGTTTCTCAAAAGCTTTAGACCTTGCTTCCTTTCCGTCTTGAAATGATTCCTTCCTGCTTTCCTTTCCGTTATTTCCAGAACGCTTTGAACTTGACTACCGCGGTTGCTACCCCTGACTCCCCTATCCCAAGACTCTTTTGCACGCGATCACTGTCTCGCCAAGTGCTTTCAGAGACTCTTGCAGAGAGTGACTCCCGAGAATCTTAAACATATGACATGACGTATCATGAATGCTTTCTTGTTACTAAGGCCAAGCCTTGCTTTTGGTGCCGGCCTCAAGAAAGCGTGCAGAGAGATGTCGCACGAGGAGTTCGTTGAAGAAAAGACAAAGTATAGCATATAGTATACTGCCTTTGCCACACACACATTTATTTGAGGGACAATCATCTATGGAATCTATGGTCATGCTTGCGTGGGGAAGGAACTGCATACTAAATCATACCAAATGTAATTACCAAATCTTGTCGTTCCATCATCTCGTCGTTTGAAGATACTTTCTTTTCACCAATCCTTCAAACGAGGTTGTGACCGCGACGGCGGCACCCGCAGCGCCGGTGGCGGCCTCGCTGTCGCCACGCGCACAGCTCGGGGCCACAGTTTCAAGATGGTGAAGCATCCGTCGCCGTGGGGACATCGAGGTAGCACCGTGGATGTTCCTCTTTTAGGTCTTGCAGTTTCAGAAGTTCTTTTTTTTTGCCTTGTGGGCACAAAAGGACACAAGGGCAGAAAGTACCAAGAGGTTGAGGAGAGTATGTCCTCTATGAACGAACAACCATGCCTCACAACCCAGAAGGAGACACGGGGAGATGAACTGCTCAGATCTGGGGCTGTAGTCAACTGTAGTGGGCACCAGAGGTGATTTACTATGTTCAGATGGAAATGTGTTCAATTCCTTGCGACCTCATTTATGAGACTCTTCACGTTCAGTGCCTGAGATTGATAAGACAGAGTCCTGCTATTTGCTGGGCTTTTGTGCATTGGTGCAGGACGTCTTTCATCTACAAAGGTGTGGCCAAGATGCCTTTTCTTTCGGTAGAGGACACTACTAGGAACACGAGAAGCTACTAGGGGCTCCTAGCATCCCTACTAGGAGCAAGGACGCTACTAGGGGCTCCTGGTCTTACTACTAGGAGCAAGAAGCTACTAGGGCGTTTGATGTCTTAATGGCTGGCCGTGTCACTGGTTGTGAACACCCGACCCCACTTTCGCTCATTGATCAACCGTGTCCCAATGAGGTGTGTCAGTTGGCGGAAACAGTCACTGTAGTCACTTTTTCAGGCTTATTCGGGTGGGGGATAGCAGCTGGCAGAACTTCCACCTCTCTATTCATCAACCGTGAGCCTTGGAACAAAAACAGAAAGAGACACATCAAGAGTACTTGGGAGGTCTGTGAAGAGCCAAGCTGGGAGACTACTGCATCGTGGTGGAACTGGAAGTATTGAGCATCATGGTTCCTTTGCATCAGCTTTCAACTCTTCCATTCCATGTTCCTCAGCATGGGCGCCGATCTCGACTTGGAGGGCCCAGTCGTCGCTGAGGCTTCTGCAATTGTTGAAGCAAGCGTCTTGGGCCCCAGGTCAGGGTGAAATGAGGGCCGAGGAAAAGAACGTGCAGAAACAGGCAGACGAGACAAAGCCTATCCATCTGCTCTGTGACCCAGATCTCAATTGTTCGTTTCTCTCATGGGTGCCGGATGGGGACACCGAATAATCGGTAGTTTCACGTGTTCCCCAGATGAAGCACGAATTCATCTCAAACCACTTCTCTGCTGAAGCCATCAGGCATATACAGGGTACCAGACTTCATGCTCCGTGGATCCGCTGATGCGAGCTTCAAATTGCCAATTTGGCTAACAAGGTTGAAGCTTGCATCTAGGGTAACTTGAGCTCTCAGTTTTGCCCAAACTTTACCACTTCTTACAGTACCTGGTACCTTCATCGACCTGAATTTGCCCAAGTGAGACGTTCATGACCCTAAAATGAAGGGAGCCTCCGTGGATGGTTTCATTTGCCGCTAACATGAGGGTGTTTTTGGAGACAAAGGCACCTTCCCACCTTGATCCACAGCTCGTCCGAGTTTCCTCGAAGGCCAGATGCCTCGCCAGCCACGCTGGCAGAGGTGGCGGGCGCTCTGGGATCCTTGGCGCTGGAGGCAACACGTGCGATGGGAATATGCGGTTGGATGTCGTGCCATATGGTGTCGGGAGGGGAAGAGACAGGTTTTGTCTCCAGAAAGGCGATTTGGTCTAGGGAACCCCAGTCATTCAGTGTGATTGACAGAGAAGCCCAGGAATCCACGATGACAAAAGCTTGGAGAAGATTCACTTATATAAAAAGGATTGGCTCAAGTCCATAGCAAGATTCACAGGTTTCGAGGTGTTGTTCCGTCTTCATGTCGAAGAAGCGTCCGGCAGCATCATCTGTGGCATCGCTGGAAGCTGAGATTTCTGCTCTTCGCCGAGAGAATGCCAAGCTGAAGAAAGAAAATGCGGCACTCCGTGGGGAAGACACCAAGAAGAAGCCTCCGGCGGCACGCCATCCTGAGGAAGCCTATGTGACCGGCTTGCTAGCGGGGCAAGAGTA